CTGCGTTCCAGCATGGCTTGGTCGACTGCGCTCCAGCAGAGCAAAGTCATGGCCTGCCAACACTGCAAGTTGACGGCGTGCCAACGCTGCAGCAAGGCGGCTGCACAGTGTTGCACCCGCAGGACAGCAGCGCACCCGCTTCGCAGGTGCTCGCATATGATTGGCGGGTTGTGTCTTGTCACCTGCACAGCGCACACACCAAATCGTCCTCGTGCTGACGACTGCTCCTGATCAGCCACGTTGACCTCGGGATACCACACCAAGATCGGCCTTGCCACGAACACCTGGGCGACCGTTGCGTGCCTCTGCAGAAACATGTCGCCCGTGTCACCTGGTTGACCGGGCAACCACCGCGTCGATCAGCTCCTCCTTGTGCCTGTCGACCACCCATGTCGACGACCACTACTGGTCGACCACGCCAAGTCGACCACGCACCTTGTCGACCAGCTCCAGGTCGACCACAAATCTGGTCGACCAACTCCAGGTCGACCAGCACACCTGTCAGCCGACCACCCAAGTCGGCTGCCCCAAGTCGGCGTCACCAAGTCGACGCCCTCCATAGGTCGACCTCACAAATCAACCTCCCGAAGTCAACGCCCTCCCGAAGTCGGTGCCCATGCAGGGGCCCCCATGCAGGTCAATCAGCCCCCTCGACCAGCTCGCCCCCTGCTGCAGGTCGGCTGCACCTCCCGCACACCCGACCACGAGGTCGGCTCCGCCCAAGCGAGGACGGGGCCAAACACAACTCCCATTGACAATCACCACAGTGGAACCAGCCCTACCGCTCACTGCTCGTGATCTCATACTCGCTCTCGGCCTCTCCATATCGCCACAGCCAATCCCGCAGCCTCCTTCCACCAACACCGCCAAACTGCTAGCCTTCTACGCACGCTCACTTGCCATCCGCGCTCCCCCTGACCTCCGGCACAAGCGCCTCGGTCACCCCTCACAGGAAGTTTTCAACAACTGCATCTTCGCTCAAGTATTCATTCCCGGAATCTTACTTCAACCTGATGGAACCCCTGTCCCCGTCAACACAAATCGCCGCACCGACTGCACTATCTGCCTTGAAGCTGCACTGACTCACCAGCCCTTCAAACTACTCGAGCCCAGCACGAACCGATACGAAAAACTCCAGAAAGTCTACAGCGAATTTCTCGTTCTCACATAGACCGACATCAACGGCGAGGAGTATTCTCTTACCTTCGTTGACGCCCACTCTCGCTTCGTCTGGGTGGCCAACGTCTCTCACAGAAGCAAGGCGTACGACATCTTCAAAGTCTAGCACGCCAACGCTGAGACCCAGTCTGGCTGCACCCTCAAGCTATGGCAAACCGACTGCGCCGCGGAATTCAAAAGCGACAAGCTGGCGGCATACATGCAGGAGAAGGGAATCATCCACAAGCTTTTTCTACCTTACGCACATCCCCAGCAAGGTGTCGCGGAATGCACCAACCGCACTCTCACGACCAAATTTCGCGCCCTCCTGCAGCAGAGCGGCGTTGACGCGAAGTATTGGCCCTACGCCATGCATCACGCTATCCGTCTCCACAATCTGCTCAACACCACCGCCAACACCGACAACCTCTCTCCTCACCTTAAATTCACCGGCACTTGCGGCTCTTGGGTTTGCTCCGTCGACTGCTGACCCGTCGCTGTTTCTGCGCACCGACACTTCGATGCCGCCGTTCTACATCCTCGTGTATGTCGACGACTTGGTCTTTGCCACTGCTGACACTGAGGCTCTCGCCCTGGTGAAGTCGGAGCTGCAGAAGAGACACACGTGCACAGACCTGGGTGAACTGCGCAGCCACCTCGGCTTGCAGATCACCCGGGACAGAGCACGCCGCACCATCACACTGACTCAGTCACACATGGTGCAGCAGGTCCTTCAGCGCTTCGGCTTCACCTGGTCCTCAGCACATGCCACTCCTCTGGCTACAGGTCACTCGCTCTCAGCTCCACCTTCGGACGAGTCCGTAGAGCCGAGTGGTCCTTACCTAGAGCTATTGGGCTGCCTCATGTACCTGATGACGTGCACATGACCTGACCTTGCGTACCCTCTTGGCCTTCTGGCTCGCTACGTGGCTCCTGGTCGGCACCGAAAGGTGCACATGGATGCTGCTAAGAGGGTACTGCGCTACTTGTGCAGTACATCGGGCATGGGGCTCGTGCTTGTAGGACGGGGCGACGTTGTCCTCACTGGTCACTCGGACGCTTCTTAGGTTGACCAGGCTACGCAGCGGTCGTCACACGGTTACACCTTCAGCCTTGGCTCTGGTTCAGTTTCTTGGCGTTCTACACGCGCGTCTTCAGTTCTCAGCTCCAGTTGTGAGGCTGAGATCTACGCCACAGCCATGGCTGCACAGGAGTTACGCTGGCTCACCTACCTGCTGACCGACTTGGGAGAGCGGCCTCGTTCTCCTCCAGTGCTGTACGTCGACAACAAGGCCGCCATTGCCTTGTGTCAGGAGCACAGACTGGAGCACAGAACGAAGCACATCGCTCTGCGTTACTTCTTGGCTCGAGAGTTGCAGCAGCGTGGTCGGCTTCGTCTTGCACACGTGGCCACTCGGGCCAACACTGCTGATATATTCACCAAGGCGCTTCCACCTGGTGATCATCAGCGTTTCTGCACTTTGTTAGGCCTTGTTCCCATGCTTCCTCACTTGCTGTAGGCTTTGTTTGTACTGTGATCTATATGTATACCTGCATGCTTGCTCTTGTAGGTAGATATCACTGTGCTGTTGTTGTTACACATATATCTCTGCATGTGAACTGGCCTTGTGGCCTTTTGCTTGTGCTCAGACTGCGTGGTGACGTTGTGATCCACCCTGAGCTTGTTTTGCACTTGCTGTCTCGCCTTGTGACCCTCTGTTCTCCCCCACTTTGCCTATGGGGGTGTGTCAAACATATGTTTATATGTTATAGTTTAGGTAGGCTTTAGTGGGGTACTCACTGTGGGGTACAACCCCTTAGGTTTTCATTTTGTACCAACTCTCTCGATAGTCCACCATCTTTTTCCTTTACTTACGACAGGAACGTTCGGTGGGCCCTAGGAACGATCATGCTTTGATACCATGTTAAAATAGGAAGTCAGGAATGAGATGGACTAGCAAGGATGGTGATACAAATAGGACAACCCTAATGGGTTGTATTCACTACTGAGTACCCCAATGTAGCCTACAGTAATATTTAATGTTTGACATCAAATCTCCATCTACTGACAGGGTCCGTACCCGACATCACCTAGCAATATTCCGCTGCTACACTCCTTTCGATCAACCTGAGACGATCCTATAAGACGGTTCATATTGTATCAGATCGGATGCGCAATGCAGTGCCATGGTACCCTCACAGGCAAGCATCACGGATCACTGCTCTATAAGCTTCACACTTCAGAATTTGCCACGTGTTGTTAATGTTGCTGAGGTGGTATGTGGGCTAGTGGATGGTGAGTTGTGTCGTGAGAGTGGATGCGGTTGTGATGCTGCTGCAGCCACCTTAGGTGGAGCAATGTCTGAGAGGCCCAAGTGGGTCAGGCAAGGCGGTGAGTGGGGGGCGAGCGTGGCAGGATGAGTGGTGGGGGGAACTCTCATGGTCAGAATTGGTTTAAAAAACCCTGAAATTGATGCTAGTGATACGGTACGAATATGTGAGAAACAAGCCCTGATACTGTACTGGAAAAACAATGCCCCACAATCAGGGCAATGTCGATACCGTATCACCCCGGATATAAGCGCAGGCCTATGTTAAGCGCATGCGCTTATATCTGGAGCAATGCGCTTATGGCCGATCCTCAATTATAAGCGCACCCCCTGTAAAACCTTGATTTATTATAAGCGTATCCTACGTTATTTTTAAGAATGAAAACGTCTCAAGATGCTGGAACGATTTTCACTTTAGCTGGCTGTACTTTTCAAATTCAGTTCTGTCGAGTTCGAACCCTGCACAGGCTTCGAGTCCAGTCAGCATGAGCTGTCAGGGGCGCCCTGTGAGTCACAGCGAATCTATTTGCCAGCAGGCGCGAGAATTTCAATCACGACCCCATGTAAATTCGACTCGATTGAAATGGCAGGGACGATTTCTACAGCTTGGTGTTAGAAAATCGTAAATTTATACTTGTCATTTTATGAGCGCATGCGCATATATTTTTTACTCAATTATAAGCGCACCCCCCTAAAAAAACACTGCTTTATTATAATCGCACCTGCGCTTATATCCGGGGTGATACGGTAGTGATTTGTTAGTTTATAACGGCAACAAACAACACAACACTTATGCAGCTGACGAAATGTGTTGTTGATTCACGAGCTGGTGATGCTGGTGAGTCTAACAAAATTGAGTGTGGATATGGTCAGTTAGCCAACAAGGGGGCAGGCTGCGGCGCACATGGGTGGTTGGCGCGGCAACTGTTGCCCGCAGGGGAACCTGCTGGTGCATGCTATGGGGTGCAGTAGCGGCAGGTTAATTACTACACGGATAAATACAGCAGTGGTGCAGGGTTAGTAGTCACATGGAGGCGGCCCGCTGCTGGAGAGATCGACGAGAGAGGTGGCGGATGAGGGGGAGGAAGAGGAGGAGGAGGAGGAGGAGGAGGAGGAGGAGGAGGAGGAGGAGGAGGAGGAGGAGGAGGAGGAGGAGGAGGAGGAGGAGGAGGAGGAGGAAAACGGGTGTGGGGTGGGGGGTGGGTGGGGGGGTGAAGGGCACATGTGCTCACAAGGTGACAGCGTTACTGCTGCCTCGACAATGCTGCCTTGGATTATTCGTATGCGGGTTAGAGGTGTAAGCTGGTTAGCTGGAGAGTGTGTATGTATGGGCGAGCCTTGCGGTGATGCCATGGTGCGGCGCTGGTCACGAGCCAGCTTGTGTGAGGCGAGGGCGAGCAGCGACGGGGGAGGGCGGGGGCGAGGAGCAGCAGTCCTGCGCGAAGAGCACCTCCATGCAGAAGCTGCTGTCACACGCCCTCAGCAACCGCCCCGTCGGCTTGTCTACCTCGCTCAGAGACAGCTGCACCCGTGCAGGGCGGAGGGGTCGGCGTGGGGTGGACGGGATAGTGGTGAGAGGCAGGTGGAGAGGGGGAGAGAAAGGGAAGGAGGGAAAAACTGGGTGGTTGTGAGAAGAATGTTGGGGACAGAACAGCAGGCAGGTTGGAGAGGGGGGGAGAGGAAAAGTGCGGGGGGTGGGGGTTATGAGAGCATGGGAGACGGAACATGAGCAGGAGCAGAGAGCGGTGGCGGGAGGTGGAGATGGAAAGGGGTGGATTCTGACCGAGAGGAGTCCCTTGGTGAAGGCGGTGTTGAAGCACAGTGTGAAGAGGCGCGCCCCCATCTTGTCCGTGAACCGCATGCTCACATCCCCCTCCACCTGCTCGCACCCAGTGCAGCACGCACGGCAGGCAGCGCAGGACAGGATGTCGAGGGCGGAAAGAGGAGAGCGCAGCGCAGGAGTGAGAGGCCATACCAGGTACTTGCCCCAGGGGTTCACTGAAGAAAGAGAGAGTCGAGAGGGCGCAGAGCAGAGAGGCGAGAGCAGGGGGGCATACAGTGAAGGGCGGGTGGAAGCAGTGCTCGAGTGGTGGGTGGTGTGGGTCGGGTGGCCTCTCCGTGTCCAGCTGCGCCATGGACGGCCGCCTCCGCCCCTCCGCTGCTCTCACCACCTCGCCTCCTCTTGCCTCCGATGCCACTGCTGCCGCAGCAACGGGAGCAGCAGCAGCAGGGGGAGCAGCAGCAGCAGTGGAAGCAGCAGCAGCAGCAGCAGCAGCAGGGGAAGCAGCAGCAGCAGCAGCAGGGGCGGCAGCGGCAGCAGGGGGAGCAGCAGCAGCAGGGGAAGCAGCAGAAGCAGGGGAAGCAGCAGCAGCAGGGGAAGCAGCAGCAGCAGGGGAAGCAGCAGCAGCAGGGCAAGCAGCAGCAGCAGGGCAAGCAGCAGCAGCAGCAGCAGCAGCAGCAGCAGGGGAAGCAGCAGCAGCAGCAGGGGAAGCAGCAGCAGCAGGTGGGCCGGGCAGCAAGTTGTTTCTATCGAGGGCGAGTGTTTGGCGCAGGGCAGGGCGTGTGATGAGCCAGTGCACGAAGGTGGCGGTGGTGCTGCTCACCATGCCCATGCGCACCTTCTCACACGTGCCCCTGCACCGCTCCACTGCCGCACTGTACCGCTCCTTGTCCGCCTGCCACGCACACCACACACACGCATTGCACAACAACACCCCTGGTAAGCTATGGACTCCCACAGCTGTTCCTTGACTCGATCCCCCCCATACGCAGCAGCAGTTGTACAGAGAAACCCAACGGTGCAACGTAGGACGCATGATGAGCACGCAAGGAAGCCCAGCAGTGCATGGTGAGGCGCGCGGCATGAGAGCGGCACCTCATCAAGTGTGCAGATGACGAAGTCCACACGGTCCAGCCCTGTCATGCCATACACCCGCACGCGCTGTATGGTGCGCCGCGTGGGCGGCGGCAGCGTGATGGGTGCAGCGTTGAGGTGCGCGTCTGCCACGAGGCGAGCCCAGTAGCGCACGTACCGCACCTGGCTGGGGATGGTCACCTGCTCTCCGCGCCACACATGGCATGGCAGGTCACGCCGGGGACAAGACGGATTATGAAGGGGAAGGTAAGAGCGCAGCACAGGGAGACGCACAGGGGCACGTGAAGCATACTCGATACGACAACATTGTTTAAGTTGATGGGAAGCAGACAGAGAGAGGTTGGCCGGTCCTGCTTTGTCAAGCAGGTAGCCTAAGCGTGTGAAGAGCGCGCGTGGCAAGGAAGCGGGCGTACCCCGGCGCGGTTGAGCGTGCGGCGGTCGGCGTAGAGAGCGAGGGCGTCGTCCGTGGTCATGCCGGCCAGCAGCAGCAGGCAGCACACCATCACGCCCGTCCTGCCCTTGCCCGCCTGCACACGCGCGCCACGCACATGGAGTGGGTGGGGTTATGCACCGCTTGCTCTCGCCACCCGTCACGAGCTGAACGTCGCGCCAGTGGAGCGGCCATGCACGGTGCCATGGACAGTCACACGCGACACACACGGAGAGTCACGCCCGCGACCAGTAGAGACCGCGAGTGCGCGTGTGTGTGTGCGCGCACGGCGTGCGCGGCACATTCGTGCGTGAGCCCGTGAGTGTACGTGTGGGTGTGGGCGCGCGCGCCCTAGACAGAGCACAAGAAAGGGACGCACCACGGCAGGGACGGAGGGCGGAGAGGGAGAGAGAGCGGGAGGGGCACGGGCGGGAGTGCGGGGGGGAGCAGGCGGGGCGGGGCGGGGTGTGCACCTTGCAGTGCACGACGATGATGTTGTCGTGGCAGCGGTCCAGCCAGTCCTGCGCGCTCTCGCACAGCGCCCTCACCAGCTCCAGCGCCGGCACGCCGTGGTCGTCGAACGGAAACCGCTCCACGCGCCCGCCGAAGTACGACGGGTCGTACCACTGCTCCGCACACAGATTGTACACCTGCCCCGTGCCGCCATGCCATTCCATGCCATGCCGCGCCGTGGCGTGCAAACACCGCAGCATGCAGCCGCGAAGGGGAGGTATCCATTAGCGCCGTGAATTGCACCCGCTACGTGGATAGCGATGCTAGTTTCGAGCAAGCCCGCAAAAGAGAACACTGGACGCACTTCAGTGGGCGGTGAGTGAGACGGCGGCGCAAGGGAGGGGCGAAAAGGGGAAGGTTCGGGGAGAGCATGCAGAGGTGGGGCAAGGGGGGACGGGGAGGGCGCAGGGCGGGCGGAGCGGCACCTTAAAGTGGTGGGCGTGGTTGGCGGAGAGGAAGCGCTGCACCTGCCACATGGGGTTGCGGAACATGGCCTCGAGGCTCTCTGCGGGGTACGACATGGCCACCACGCGGTCCGTGATGTAGCTCAGGTCCAGGTCGTAGCCGTCGCAGATGTAGCGCCGCCGCTTCATGGACACGAGGTGCCGGAGGTACTCCAACATTACTATTCATGGGGCGCCGCGCGACTAACTGCGACGCGACGGGCAGCTTCGATGGTGGAAAATGGAAGCAAGGCGATGGGTGGTGGGGAAGAAGTCGGCGGGCGAGCTGGCTGAGTATCAAAACTAGGTTCGCTTGTGCGAGTCGTAGGTTGCTGTGGATCCAACCACTTGAGGCTCCGTGATGCAATTCAAGTTCCTCTCTTGAGTGGAGGAATGGCGGCAGCGGGGGTGTGAAATGCGAGGATGAGGTGTGGGCAAGGGCATACAAGTTGGTTGGGGCGGGTACGGCAGGGAAGGAGGAGGGGGGAGAATTTCGCGCTCCTCACCTCATGTGCGCGTCGTGGTGTGCGCCGGACCCCGAAGACACCTTTGCGCCAGCCGTGCGCACTTATACATTTAGGAGGGTGGGGGGGATCGCTGAGAGCATTTCGCAGAACACAGTCACGATTCCAGACGCACAGCACGTGCGAAAACGCAAACGAACATTTACAGAGTCTAATAGCTAAATTCATTCGTTTCATTTCGCCGTTCCACCAAGCAGCACGAAGGTATTTCCCTTGCTTCTTGTAAGGAATTTTCCCGAACTCCTTGTCGGGGTTGATTGCTACGCGGACAGCCCCATTTTCGGACTCGGCACGTTCGGCCGACATCAACGATGCCGAGGCTCCTCACGCCGAGGCTCTTCGATCGCCAAACCTGTTGTAGAGGAATCTCCTCTAGTTGGCGGGAACTAGGAGTTGTACTAAACGTTAGAGCACTCTGATACCTTTCCAACGAGCCGTAAATCACCTCGATTGCCTAAGTATCGAGCGAGATATAGGCGTTTATGTGCTAGGTAGTGCTCTTAGAACAAAGGACAGGAAATCTTTGGATTTTGTAGTCAAGTGTATCACATACAAAGTGATTCAGGTTTTCGGTATGAAACATGCAAACAAGGCAAACACATTTATAGCTACTCAACACATCAAGTCGCGCATGTAACATCTAGTCACTACGAGATGTATTGCGAACATTCGTGTAACAATTCGAAGGGGTGAAATTCGGCACCCGAATTTCACCGAACCGAATTCTTCTTCAATCTCGATTCTTCTTGTGTTGCCATGTGGCACCAATTGAGTGGGTCTTCCGAAGTCAACCCACACACTTCGAAACCTGCAGCTCACGCAACTCGCAAGAACTAGAAGAAACGCATTCAGTGGGTTGGGGGCATACAACTACCCCACCACCGTTTCCATTGAACACACGCGACCTCCAACACTCCCCCTTGCACCCAACCCACTAGGTGTGCAATCCAACATGCTCGTAGCATGCACGGGATGGATCTTTGGGGGGTGGTTTCATGAGAGAATCCGCATGTGTTAACGGGAATGGAGTGTTGGCCCCGCCCTCGCTTGGGCAACGCCGACGACTTGGTCGGATGTACGGGAGTAGCAGCCAACCGTTCACAGTGGGAGAGCTGCTCGGCAGGCTTCGTCGAGCTGCAGGGGACCGCTGTGTGAGAAGAATGAAGAACGAGGATGAATGAACTATGAATGAGGTGAGTACATATGGAAAACCCTAATTGGGTTGTACCCCCTATGGGATACCCCACTATAGCCTACACAACAGCATAAGCTATATAATGTTCTGACACACCCCCATAGGCAAAGTGGGGGAGAACAAGGGGTCACAAGACCAGTCAAGCAAAGCAGAGCAAGCTCAGGGTGGATCACAACGTCACCACACAGTCCGAGCACAACGACAAGGCCACAAGGCCAGTTCACATGCAGGAGTACACATATATATATAGAGCTAGACAAGCAAGAGCAGGTATATATATGTGACAGTACAAGTAAGGTCAAGAGGAGAGCAAGTGAGGCAAGACAGGTACAAGACCCAGCTGAGTGCAGAAGCGCTGATGGTCACAAGGCGCAAGTGCCTTGGTGAACACATCAGCAGTGTTGGCCTGAGAGGCCACGTACGCAAGTCGCAACTGACCACGCTGCTGCAGCTCACGAGCAAGAAAGTAACGGAGAGCAATGTGCTTCGTTCTGTGCTCCAAGCGCTGCTCTCGACACAAGGCCAGCATGGCCTTGTTGTCTACGTACAGCACTGGAGGAGAACGAGGCGGCTCTCCAAGGTCAGTCAGCAGGTAGGTGAGCCAGCGAAGCTCCTGTGCAGCCATGGCCCCGGCGTAGATCTCAGCCTCACAACTGGAGCCGAGAACAGAGGACGAGCGAGTAGCTCGCCACGAGACAGAGCCGGAACCAAGACTGAAGGTGTAACCCTGCGACGACCGCTGCGTAGCCTGGTCGTCAGCCCAAGAAGCGTCCGCGTGCCCAGTGAGGACCACTGGACTCCGCCCTCCAAGCACTAGTCCCATGCCCGACGTACTGCACAAGTATCGCAACACCCTCTTCGCTGCAGCCATGTGCTCTGGTCGGTGTCTCCCAGGAGCAACATAGCGTGCAAGAATGCTAAGAGGGTATGCAAGGTCAGGTCGTGTGCAGGTCATCAGGTACATGAGGCAGCCAACAAGCTCTGGATACGGGCCACTCGACTCTACTGACTCATCCGAAGGCAGAGCTGAGAGTGAGTGGCGAGTAGGCAGAGGAGTGGCCTGAGGCGAGGAGTACGTGAAGCCGAAGCGCTGAAGGACCTGCTGCACCATGTGTGACTGAGTCAGGGTAATGGTGCGGCGTGCTCTGTCCCGGGTGATCTGCAAGCCAAGGTAGCTGCGCAGTTCACCCAGGTCTGTGCACGTGTGTCTCTTCTGCAGCTCGGACTTCACGTGGGCGAGTCCAGCAGTGTCAGCTGTGGCAAAGACCAAGTCGTCGACGTACACGAGGATGTAGAACGGCGGCAGAGAGGTGTCGGTGCGTAGAAACAGCGACGGGTCGGCAGTAGAAGGAGCAAACCCAAGAGCCGCAAGCGTAGTCCTCAGTGTGTCGTGCCACTCACGTGGCGCCTGGCGGAGACCGTAGACTGGACGCCGGAGACTCCACTGGGTACCAGGAGGGAAAGACCCAGTGAAGCCAAGTGGGCGGCGCAGCCAGATCTCCTCGTGCAGGCTGCCCTGCAAGAAAGCAGTGCTGAAGTCGAGAGAGTGCAGCTCGTAGTCACGGTGAGCAGCAACGTGTAGCAGCACCCGAAGAGTGGTCATCTTCGGGGTGGGGGAGAAGGTCTGAAAGTAGTCAACTCCCTGTCGCTGACTGAAGCCACGAGCCACGTAACGTGCCTTGAAGACAGGCGGAGAACCCGGCGGCCGCTTCACCCTGAAGATCCACATGCCACTGACGATGTTCGCCCCAAGAGGGGGGACAGCGTCAACGTAGGTGCCTGTGGACTTCCAGGAAGCCATCTCTGCATCCATAGCTGCCTGCCACTGAGAGGAGTAGGGACCCTCTATCGCCTCCGCGTAAGAGCGCGGAGTCGGGATGTCAAGTGCATCCGGGTCTCCCTCAGGGGTAAGCAGTACGGACACGAGATGAGGTGAAGTAGCTGCCAGACACTGGAACTCCTCCTGCCTGTCCTCAAGGACGTCCGTGCCAAGGGCACACTCACCCCCGACTGACGGAGGACAGGCAGACCCAGACTCAGCGACAAGACTAGCAGCGTAGTCTAGGCGACAGCGAGCAGCAAAGTCGACGAGCTCAGTAACTAGGGCAGACGCAGCAGTAGACTCGAAGGAAGGGTCAGTGACGACAGTAGCAAGGAGACGCGTGACAGTAGGACTGGCAGCACGAAGAGAGTCCGACGCAGGGTCGGGAAGAGCAGGAAGAGAGGACTCAGGAGGAGAAGGCAAAGGGGCACGCAGAGGAGCAGTAGACGGACGCAGAGACATCCTGTGCGTGCCAGAGACAGGAGGAGGACGCTGACGCGAACCACGACCACTAGCGCGAGCAGCACGGACAGGCGACGCAGGGCGAGACGCAGGCTCACGACGCTCAGTAAGACCTCCAGTAGGACCAGTGTAGGGAGAAGGAGCAGGCAAAGGGGAGGTAGGCTGTAGCAGTGACCGCGACGGGACAGGCTGTGGACCCTCCAAGAGAGGAGGAGGACCAGGAGAGGGCGGAAGACCAAGAACCTGCTGCAGGAGTGGAACGAAGTACGGTCGAGGCCGCGTAGCTACGCCAGAAACAGCAGGGACAGCACCAGTACCCCCAGCAGGAGCACCCGCTCCAGCAGCACCTCCAGTAGCTCCAGAACCTCGAGCAACACCAGGAGCACCCCCAGCAGGACCGCCAGTGGTAGTCTCAGCGACAACACCCTCAGCAGCACCAGCTCCAGTCGAACCCGCAGGCCCAGCAGCTCCAGTACTCCCAGTACGAGCACCTCCGGGACCCGCAACAGCAGCACCCTCAGTAGCCGACGAACCTCCAGCACCAGCAGCACGGCTCCAGCGCCGGGCAAACCACTCGCGCAGCTCCTGTGGAGAGAGTGGCTCCCGGCGAGACAAAGCACGCGTAGAAACTCGAGGCGGAGGACCTCCAGGCGCAGCACTCCCAGGTCCAGCACCCCCAGGCAAAGCACCCCCAGGCGTAGCACCCCCACACTCAGCACCCCCAGGCTCAGCACCCCCAGGCTCAGCACCCCCAGGCTCAGCACCCCCAGGCTCAGCACCCCCAGACTCAGCACCCCCAGACTCAGCACCCCCAGGCTCAGCACCCCCAGGCCCAGCACCCCCAGGCCCAGCACCCCCAGGCTCAGCACCCCCAGCAGCACCAGAGTCACCAGTGACCTCGACAGGCTCGACTGCGTCTACCTGGGACACACCTGAAGGGGCAGGACCCTGAGGGGGGAGGGGGTCTACCGGGGGGGGACCTGGTACAAGGAAGAGCGGGGGCGGGGGGGGGGACGGAGTGCGGTAGGGGAAGAGGCGGTAGTAGGGTACCGACTCGTCGAACGTGACGTCCTGAGAGGACAGAACACGGCGAGAGGTGGGGTGGTAGAACTGCCACCCAGGCGCGTCTGGGGGGAACCCCAGGAAGACGCAAGGAGCAGCACGAGGGGACAGTTTG